AGATGTATTCACCCAATTTCGTTTAAGAGGATGAAGGACTGATAGAAGGAGAATTTTCCCACAATGATATGAGTAAAAGCTGACGTTTCCATTCAATTTTACATAGCCTTGCTTTCCCAAAATTTGTTCTCATCCAGGCACCAGTGGACTGCAGTTTCGACCTCGCATCGGTCTTATCACCATAAATGAGAACAACTTTTGGAATAGCAAGTCTATGTGAAATTCAATGGAAACGTCAGCTCAACTCATAGCATTGTGGGAAAATTCTTCTTCTACCAGTCCTTCATCACCTTAAACGAAATTTGTTGAATACATCTCATAGTCTTTTCTTGTTGGGGGGACTTTCATTTGGTATGAAAGTGCATGGACAAGAGATTCGATGGTCGATCTCACCAGAAGACGACGGCTTTTATACGGCCTTAGGTTGACACAGTCCACGAGACCTGCTCCCTCGTTTCAGGTGAAAACGAGCTGGACTTTCGTCCATCATTCCATGGACATGATCCAAGCTGGGTCTCATTCCTGTAAAAGTCTCCCGTTAACAAACACCAAGTCAAGAAGACTATCCGGCTCTATCTTACCTCTTATATAGCCAAAAGAAAATTAACAAATTAAAAACCTAGCAAGATATATAGTGGTTTGGCTAATTATTTTTCATACTGGTCCTGCTACTTTGGCTCGAGTTTGTGCGTGTGTGCATGTGTATATGTTAGCGTCTATAGGCAATAACGGTCCTAAATCAGAGTTATCAAAAGGTTAAAGTTAGGCTCTGATCATCAAGGCCTAATGACCAAAAAGAAAACACTGTCGGAGACTGCGTAAGTCTGTAAGCAAGTACGTTTGAGATGATGAGATGTAAGCTTGTAAGTTAAGAAACCACAAGTCCTAACCTCTCAGTCTAGGGTGATTAACGTTTAACCCTCCAAGGAAAGGCAAGATTGGGGTTGCGTAACCTGACATGTCTGGTTTGGTGGATAAGCTTACTCTAACATTTTGGACGAATGTGAGTGAAATCAGAACCATTACTGAACAGAAAAATTAAGTTGCCTTCTTTTGACGGCGGCTCAACACTCTCTCTCTCTTTCAATCTATCAATCAAGCATAAGTAATTCCTACTCAAATCTCTACCACCATTCCTCACATTCAACGTATTTCCTGAGCTATCAATTTCAATCGCCTCTCTTATCTTCTTATTAACAGCAGACATAAAATAATCGGCAAATTTATTCGTTTGAGACCACTCTATCTCCTGTTGAATATCTGTCCTTCGTGTTCGGCCACTTCTGACCGTTTGACCCAGCTTCCTTTACAAGCATTTTCGTGTTCTCCCAAACTTTGTCGAATAGGTCGGCATGTCTCACCAACATAACACCGACCACATGAGCAAACAATCTTGTAGCAGCCGGATCTCGAAAATGGGTCAGGTTTCTCTCTCAAAGATGGCATAACAGAACAAAGTGGGAAGGTTTCTTTGAACACTGTTTTTATGCCCCACTTTTTCATTAATTCGCCTATTGTTTTTGAGAGAAAACATGACGACAAAATTAGGACATGGGAAAAGGTCTCCGTCTGTCTATCTTTGACTAAATGGTCTCCGTTTGAAAATGTTTTCCTTTGTAGGCCCAAAGAATAATTATTTTCTAGGAATATATTTGTCAGCCAGTGCAACTCTTTAGTCAAATGGTTGCTATTCGCTAGCCTCATACTTCTAAGAATTATTTACTTAAAAATTCCAACCTTTGTCTTGTAACTATGGTTGCAAAGAGCCAACACATGTTGGCTTCCTATAAACATCTCTTCCTAATTCACCAGCTTCTTTAATGATGTGAATATCCAGAAAGGGTAAAGACTTATTCTCTTCCATTTCCTTTCACGCTGGTTGAGTAAAAGTAGGAAACTATCTCAACTTTCCACTGTCAGATGCTGGGAATCATGAAAACTACTATGGCAGACGACTTCGGACTATGTGCGTTCTACATAGTCTCCCTGAAAACGAGACCAAGTTGCGACAACGAGGTCAACCCACTTTTATCAATCAAAAGGAGACTGCGACCACACCAGAGGCCACAACATCTTGATCTTTATATATCTCAACTTTCCTTTATATGAGGCCAGATGACAGAATAGTCATGCCTGTATCTAACCTACAATTTGGGGGTTAGTATTGCCTCTTGCAGGAAGTGTTCCTCCAGTCTTGCCATAGAATTGTTCGGCAAGATGGGAGCCATGCAAGATCCCATCTCTAGTCCTTGTGCTTATTCGTATAACTTACGATAAAAGATAAAATATGTGCTACTTGTATTATCTCTAAATGTTCATCAAGAGTTTGTATCAGAGCTTGAATAGCTCCTTGAACAGGCATGCTTGCATACGTAGACACAACAACAAAACTTACTAGCCCATACTCTTCTGAAAGTATCTGCTGCCAAATCACTTTCACAAAATCATACGAATTCTTAACTGAGTATAGCCAAAAATTGGCGGAGTTCCTTAGTTACCACATACGGTGACCTATCCATGACTACCACTGTTCCATCTTTGTCGGTTTATATAACGATTAGATTATTATCAAACTGATATCTAGAAGCCCCACTAAGAGGACAAGCTCTCTTTTGCGGTAGTATGTGGTCAAAATGAGGGATCACCTCCAGTTCGACACTATTCCTTACCTCTTCGGGCAATCTATCAGATAAGCTGATTAATTCAACAAGCACGTCCAGAGAATAGTTCACCTCACTTGGAAGAGGATTAATTAATCCTTTTTCCAACAAAAGTACTACACTATTCTCCAGAGTTGTACTGGATAAATTGATAACCTTATCCTTCCTCACTTTGTTACAACCATGGTTAGTTAGACTTACCTCAGACGCAAAGTTTCTCGACCTTATTTTAATTCCTAAATTCCGGAGCTCATCAACGCAACCAGACATGTCAGATTACGCAACCCCAGTCTCGCGTTTCTTTGGAGGGTCAAGCGTTAATGGGTCTAAACTGAAAGGTTAGGACAAGTGGTTTCGTAGCTTGATTTGCATGCTTACAAGCTTATATCTCATTATCTCAATCATACATGTTTACGGACTTACACAGTCTTGGTCAAGGCTCTCTCCTTGGTCATTAGGTCTTGAGGATCAGAACCTAAGAATAAATCTTTGACAACTCTGATTTAGGAACCGTATTGCGTGTAGACGCTTTCTTTATTATTCACATTTAATCTTACAGGGACATCCTCTTTCTGAACTTTAGGGAAACCGTAAGCCTTGCAATTAAGTGAACTAGCAATTTTCTACAGACCTTGACCTGGCCATGACTACCACTACTCCATCTTTGTCTGTTTTCATTGCAATCAGATTAATTTGGGCTTAATTGTGTCTACATAAGAGGTAGGAAAGAGCAGGATATTCTTCTTGCTCTCGAGCTAACGTGAGACTTTTACAGGAATGACACTCAGCTCTCATAATTTCCATCGAATGATGGATAAAAGCTCAGTCCGTTTTTACCCGAAACGAGGGAGGAGGTCTCGTGGACTGCGTCTATCTCAACCTCGTATAAAAGCCAAACGGCTGCAGTACCATGAGATTCATCTGTCCTCTTCTGGTGAGATCGACCCACGAATCTCTTTCATACCAAATCTTAGTTCCCCAGACAATGTTATCTTAGGAGATTCATCGAAACCCAGTTTCCCTTCACAGTCCTGTCTTGTCTTAGTTCTAATGATAGTGTACTTTTAGCTCACTCTTTCTCTCTCGCATTAAGACCAAAAACAAAAAATAGTCTCATCAACAAAACCAGACGTGTGTCCGACCTTGCGCAATCGGAGAGATGATGCTCATGGCATGTACATAGAAACTGGCTGATGGTGGTCATCAAACATTGATGATCAAGAAACGACGTTACTTTTGCTGTCCTAATTTCTTTTAGCCATCACTGCTGGCTCCATGCATGAGCGAACACAAACAGGCACATACACATACAGACGCATATGACATATGACCGTAACTAATCAAATCACTTTATACCACTTTTTAGGGATTTGCCGGTGAGTTTTCTTGACTCGTCAGCTTGAATTTGGTTGTGACGATGATACCTTGCTCTGATAATGTTGGTCACATGATGGACGAAAGCATGACCCCTTTTCACCGGAATCGAAGGAGATTCATTCGAAAATAGCCTCAGCATGAATCTTCCCGTAAAGCCAATCAACAGCTGGTCAAGAGGAATCCGCCGTCTTTTTCTGGTGGAATCGACTTTGGAATCTCTTCACCAAACACCTTCACTCGAAAGGAAGTGAGCTGAACAATTATGAAAAAAAGAGATTCCTCGAAACCCAACTTTTCTTCGCAGAATGAATATAACCAAAGATGTTATTGAATACCAACTAGCACTCGCTTCCAAAAGGTGTTTTCGTCCAAACTCGACTAGAAAACAGTTTCGACCTCCAACCTGCTGTTGAACATGCTATCGTTCAGCTAAACGTTGGTGCTCATATGAGCTTCTCATGTACGCGTGTGTGTGACAGTCTATATTTGTGTAATAGTTATGCCATAATCATGTATATACACATACGTTGACAGGTAAACATGCAATAACAACACGAAAACACATAAACTATCCACTATGAGTGTTTTTCAGAAGAGTCATATTCGATGCTCACTTCAATTGGGCTTGCTTGCGCATGATAGGTAGAGCCTGAGGGACAGCTTTCAGGTAGTAGAAAGTTCGAGGTGGGGTGAAGATGAAAGGTGTGAAGCACAAACAAGTCGTTCTGTAGAGTCAGGAGGGATAACATCTATTTTTGACGCTCTTAGGACAAGGATTGGCTTCTCTCCAAAAAATCCGGGTTCAATGTCCATGTCACAGAGTATTCAAGGAGGAAGAGGTACAGGCTCGTCCTGAATGTTTGGCAGGAAGGGAGGAGGTGTGAAAGAGGTTAAGGTTGATGTGGAGGAGGAGGAGGAAGAGGAGGAGGAGGGAGTACGTCAGATTCTGAGGTCAGGGTCGTGTTATGCCGTCGGAGAGGGAAGGTATTCCGGCGCGGTATCGTGGGTTGAGGGCGGGTGGGGCGGTCGGATGGTGTGCGACGGCCCGTCAAGGCGGGAACCGAAGCCTGGCCAACAGGCGCAATAGCAGACTGTGTCTTCGTGGTTGCCATGGATCTGTACAAACCGGGAACCCTCGGACAGTCGCCATCGTTGCTTATAGCGTCGAGAATTTGCGCGTATTTTTGCTTCTTTCGCCATCGCCCCGTTCCGGTCGGTCGGCAGATCGGGTTCGAGTCCCGCCTCGAGACCGGATTCGAGTTCAACCGAGGCTGGCCGGCCGGTTGGGCGATGACGACGCGAAAGCGAGGCGAGCTTGTCTATCGAACTCGCTTTGCGTCTGGTAGCAATGGCGACGTCGACGTCGACGGCGACGCTGACACTTGGGCACCGGCGACGCCGGCGACGTCCAAAGACGAGGCAGCCGAGACGGCCGTACTGACGGAGGAGGGCGTCGCGGATCGCCTCGTTCAGCCAACCGTAGAGGAAAGGGTTGATGCAAGCCGAGGACATGGCGAAGAGTTTGAGGATGAGGTCGGCCAGTCGCAGGTAGGGTCGGCCCTTGGGCAGCAGACGCGCCAATCGAGCCGGCTGCGTCGCAGGACCCGTCGCGTCGCTCTCCAACAGCTGCAGTCCGTCGGCACTCGACCCGTCCTCGGTCAATCCGTCCGACGAATCTTCATCGCCGTCGTTTTTAACGGCATTGCCGACGTAGCTATCACCGTCGTTTTTAACTGCATTGCCGACGTAGCTATCACCGTCGTTTTTAAATGCATTGCCAACGTAGCTATCACCGTCGTTTTTAACTGCATTGCCGACGTAGCTATCACCGTCGTTTTTAACTGCATTGCCGACGTAGCTATCACCGTCATTTTTAACTGCATTGCCGACGTAGCTATCACCGTCGTTTTTAAATGCATTGCCGACGTAGCTATCACCGTCGTTTTTAAATGCATTACCGACGTAGCCGATGCTGTCGTTTTTAACTGCATTGCCGACGTAGCTATCACCGTCGTTTTTAACTGCGTTGCCGACGTAGCTATCACCGTCGTTTTTAACTGCGTTGCCGACGTAGCTGTCGCCGTCGCCGTTATTGTCGTCAGTGCCGGAGCCGATATTATCAACGATCTGGCGTTGAGTGGCCGGTCTCCGCTGTACCGGACCGAGGGAACCGGTGCCCATTCTGTCGAGCGCATAGAAGCAGGCCAAGTCGATTGTGGTCAGTCCGTCGGCCAGTGCTCGTCTGCTCTCGTTGACGCCGACGTTGAGCGACGCAGTGGCCGAATAGGGCTTCTCGGTGTCGAGGCTGTCGCGACGACCTCGACTGGCGAGAACGACGAGAAGACGATCCATGCAGGCGACGAGACGATCACACTCGGCTCGACTCTCGGCGCGATCAAAAGTCTCCGTGAAGACACGTACCAGCGGATTGAGATCACCAAGTCGTGTTTTGTGCCGGTCGACTTCAGTGACGAGCGAAAAAAGACACCATGGCGCCCATGAGACGGTGAAACAGACGACCACTCCGACAAGCAGGCCTGTGGTGCGTCGCTTGCGTCGTTCCGCTTCTCGGTTGCCTAGGCCGGCAGAACTGTCACTACCGACGCCAACGCCGACGCTACTCGATTGGTCGGGCCGACGGGCGAGACGACGATAGATTGCCAGATAGAGGCTGGCGCAGACGAGCAGCGGCAAGAGAAAGAGAACCGTGAAGATGATGCAAGAGTAGGCGAGTCGAAGCGCTTGGTTGGGCCAATTCTCTTGGCAGTTGAGGACGCAATAGTTGGCCCGAACGAACAGACCGACGGGCATGCTGTTGACGAGACTGACGAAGAGGACACCGGCCACGAGGAGGAGACCGAGACGGAAAGAGATACGCTTGTCGAATGGCCTCACGATGAGGCGGTATCGCTCGATCGCGATCAGCAGAATGGTCAGACACGACACGTACATGGGCACTCCGAAACTGGAGTAGATGAGGCGACAGAGTGTGTGGCTGTTGACACGAGTTGCCAGCTCAAAGTACACCTGCAACGGCATGCTGACGCCGCAGAGGACAATGTCCGAGACTGCCAGACACAATACGAACAGGTTGGTCACGTTGTTGCGCAACGTCCGTTGCCGGTACTGCAAAAGCGCGATCACAATGGCCAGGTTGAAGCTGGCCCCGAAGCCGATCACCGCGGCGTACAGACCGATCACGGTGTAACTCGCCGTCGGCGTCCGATGCAGTTCGCCCCACAGTAACCATGTCCAGCTGCTCGAAGCCATTCTCGCCTTGACGACTAGACACCGAGTTGGGCCGTGTTGTGCTGATTTGTGGAAATTTGCTTTGCTTTGCGTAGTGTAGCGTAGAGTTACGTCGGTTTACGTCGAGTCACATCAACTGTCGATGCGTTGTGCCGAGTTACGGCAAATTGTGTCGCGTTGCGTGGGAGAATACCAAAATATCTCACGTTTTGTAGAGCTACGTTGTGTTGCGTCGACTTACTTCGAATAACCTCGAATTATGTCTATTTTATTAGATTTACGATCTATGTCGATCTACATTGAGTTGCATCGTATTCTGATGAACGATTCCGGATTTTGCAGAGTTGTTTCGATTTTTATCAATTTGTGTTGGCTTGGGTTGATTTTCGTCAAGCTACGCAAAATGGCTTTGAGTCGCAGCCAGCGACGTAGAGCAACGTCGGGATGGGGCAATTCACCTAGGATTGAGTAAAGTTATGTGCATTTAGTATAGCTCCTTTGTGATGCCCAAAGTTACGTCGAACTACGTCGTGTTGCGTCAAATGGTCCTGCTTTTAAGAGTGTTACGTCGGGTTGCGTCGGGTTATATCTTGTTTCTTAGAGCCAGGCCGACTTGCATCGTGCCAAGTCAGCTTAGTTCGCTTCTTGTAGCGTTAAGTGCTGCTTCGTCGAGTTACGTCGAATAGCTCTACGTTTTGCATAGTCAACCCGCGTGTTGTAGAGATTAGTTGTGTTTTGTGGGGGGTCAAGTTGAGTTGCATCAAGTTGTGTAGAGGGGCGTTACGTCGAATTGTCCTCAGTTTTGTGAAGTTGCTTCGTGTTGCTCGGAAATCTCGTGACTCACATCAGCCTACCGCCAGCTGATGCCGTCAGGTTGGGTTTTGCAGTCAAGATGTTGTCACCTCGTCTTTCCGTCGCCTTCATCACGCGATTTCCTGCTTTTTTTAGGCTCG